TGGATTGGCCCATAGTGACAGAAATAGGAAGACCCATTCACTGAGCTAAAATGAGCTGCTGAATGGTAAATATTTGGGTTTGGAAAGAAGCTTCTTTTAAAGGAACTCATTCTTGCCCAAACAATGTTGGGGTTCCTATTTTAATTATAAAGCCCATTTGTGAGTTGTGATGCCATTCCTGTGGCCCACTAGCAAGGAAACACAGGAGTTTCATTTTGCAGAGACTCAGGAATCTGTGAGAGTCAAGCACCTTTCCCCAACTTCGGTGCACTCCAAATGTCTAGCTTCATCTGCCAAAGTTTATCCAGCCAGTGTGGCCATTGCTGGGAATTCTGGAAATAGAAGTTCACACATCAGGAGAAAGCATCAAACCTTATTAATGGAACTGAATTCTATTGACCATTAACAATGGTAATGTTAATACTAATGAGCAAGGGGAACAGAATCACACCTGCTTCTCTGTCTAGCGGGCTGTTTAGTTTGGTGCTTCAGGAGGGGTTGCTTTCCTAACTACACATCTGGCTGATAGCCTCAGTTCCTTGGCAGACCATATAAACTATCTCAAACTACTAATATGCAAATAGATCGTAGATCAGCCAATAATTCCAGGTGTGCTTAGACTCTTGGGTCATTCTCACATGGATTCCCCCCGCACCCAATGTGTGCTTTTTGGCACCAGAGTAGGAATTGACCAGTGGGTCTCTAGAGCAGTGTTTTTCAACCTCAGCAACTTTAAGATGTGTGGACTTCAACACTCAGAATTCCCGAGCCAGCATGCTGGCTCGGGAATTCTGGGAGTTGAAGTCCACACATCTTAAAGTTGCTGAGGTTGAGAAACCCTGCTCTGGAGAAAAGCTTTCCTCTTTCTTTAAATGAATGAAGCATTTCATATCTTCCCCAATACTTCTACAGCCATGAATGGTTGCCAAAATACACGGGACAAGGCTCAGGACATTCTAATTGCTCCTAGGTGGCTGGCATATCCTGGATTGAAATGAAAAAGATTTTTGAACTCTGTAAGCTAAACTAAATTTGACCAATTTACTATTTTGTACTTCAGGTGTTACCTTTCTTAGCTGATCTAAAATCTAGTGGGATTTCCATAGTTTGCATATTTACTTCTCAAGGCATTGCATTTTTTCCAGACCTGACAATGAAATATTTTCTTAATGATTTGCTTAATCTCTCTCCCTGTTTCAACTCCAATTTGTGAAGTTTGTCACCTGTTTTTTCAAAGTTGGTTGTTAAATTGCCTGAGCCCATAGCAACTTCTTCTTTCATTTATTGTCACAGATAAGAGTTTTTTGTTTCTGTTACCCTGCTCTGGTGGTGCTCCATCTGATACAGCCTTTCATAGCCTTAATATCAGGAGAGTACCTCTTTCGATATAAACAGGGTGGAAGGCTTTGGTTAGATAAATATTTGTTCATCTGTTATGTAGTCTCACAGAAGGAATAGAGAGTTCCCCCTGCCCTTGTTCTTCTAAAAGGGTTTTTGCTACTACCCATTTATATATTATCAACTAACAAAACAAATGTTTGCGTCCCAGAACATTTTTGAAAAGGCTCTGCTTGATGCAATAATATCATGGGGGTAGGGCTTCCACCAGAAAGTATTTTAGCTCTAGAAATTTCCAAAAGAAGCTACTGCATCCCATTAATGTAAATGCATGGATGAGTACTTGAAGAACCTCAGTTACAGGTAAGTAACCAATTCTCAGTATCTTTCAACAATGATACACATTAGATCCCATCTATTGCAAAACTCTTCAGCACCATCACCTAACAGCAACCCTGTTATAAAGCACCTGACACTAATTTTGTACCATAGCCCATTTGGTCAGAAGGTGTATATAGGTAGTCCTCATTTAGCTACCGCAATTGGGACAGGCAACTTGGTTGTTAAGCAAAGGAGTCACTAAGTGAAACCACAACTGTGCTTATGATCTTCCGTCAGGTTTTCTTTGCTTTACAGTCCTGCAAAGGTCATAAATGGGAGGATTGGTCATAAAGCTACTTATTCATCACCGTCGTAACTGTGAACAGTCACTAAATTTGCTAAATGAGGACTACCTGTATTGTATTTTGGTATCATTATGCATAGTTTATTTTTTTACAATATACATTATGTTCATGAATCATGTTAATGTTGCCCACAAGCCTGCATAAATGCTATTACAGCTTATTAGCTGGAAAAGAGAAAGTTTATTTTGTGAATAACAAAATATGCAAGATTACAAAGAGGGATTTTAGAATAGTGAAATTCTTGGGATGATAGTGGAATTATGGGAATAGATTGTGGAGTTGAAAGCATCAACTTTGGTTTATTGTAATTATGCCAAAAGCAGTAAATGAGTAGTTCAGTAGTTGCCATGCAAGAATTTGTCAAGTCTCACCATTTTGCCATTGTTAAATTATTGGAGCAGCATTTCAACTTGTCTTCCTTTAGGTCAGCATTAAAATAAGGTTTACCAAACTGATGTCCAAAAATGTAGTAGGAATGAATTTAGAAACCAGATACAGTACTCTAAACATAGACTGTTGTTGGCTCTAGAACTGTTATGAACTTGGAATCCTTTTCCCCATTTTTGGCTTTTTCATTTGTTTCTGTGGAAACGGTCAAACGGAAGAGGGAAAAGAAGTTGGAACCCTTGTAAAAATGTTCTTGTTCAGGGAATAGAAATAAGCATTTACCATTCTACTTGCCTCCAAACACCTACAGGCATTGATGTCCAAAAGTCTGATGAAGATCGTGTCCTGTTAGTAAAGATCTGAGGCCAGCTAAAACTGCAGCTCTGGTCCCTTCCTCGTCAGTTAAAAAAAAGCTGACCACAGAAGGACAATTCATATTATCAGGAGAATCAAGGGGCAGAATCCATGTTTATAATAGCAGCAGAACAAAGTTTGCAGAGCTGATTTACTTTACATTATGATGAGAAAAATGCATGCTTGAATGCATTCCCATGTTTGTTTTATTTAAATACCTGCCCCATTTTCTACAGATCAGTGCCCAGGACAGATAAAATACAAAGCAAACTATACACCAGTATATATAAAGCAAGCAGGAAAGAAATAATTTAATGAAAGTAATGAATTTAATGAAGATAATTCATAGATGAAACAGATCAGCTCAACAGGCCAAAAGCTTGTATAAATAAAAAGAAATTTACTTGGAAACTGGTAGATCTCCAGAGAGATTACTAAATGGGCATTCTGAGGAAAAGTATTCCAGAGCCACAGACATTTCCAACACATAAATTTAAATTCCCAACACATGTATTTCAGTTAATGGGAACAGAGAAAAAAGGTATCTCCTAAAAATCTTAAAATATGGACAGGTTCATAAGGAAGAAGGCAACAACTGAGTAAATTTGTTTGTGATGAATGGTGGATAGACCCCAACCCAGTTGTGCAGCAAATATGTTAACTTCATACCTGGCACTTGAGATAGTACACTTCAAGAAAACCTTTATTGTTTGTTGATTTATGACAGTATTGGGAACTTTATGGCTCTCCTGAACAACTTCCAGCATCCCTCACTATTGCCCATGCTGATTGCAACAACTGAGATTTGTAGTTCAGTAACTTCTCACATATCATACATTCCTCACCTTTGATTTATTATCTCATTCTAGGCTTTGCCTGTCATTATTATTCAAACCATTTTTTTGTTATTTATTTGTTAGTATAAAATAATAATGTATAATTTTGTACTATTTGTCAAGTTTTTTATTTGCATGTTATCTCACTCTTATGGATGACCCACATGTTGTGCAAATGCTGTTGGGCTTCATGACCAGAAATTTTGAGGTATATGATTAGGTATTACACAGAAGTATCCATATAATTGCAGATAGACCTCTCAGTTACAGAGTATCTATCCTTGGTCAGTTAATTAGAAAAGCAAAAACCTTGTGCACACATCTTGTAAGGATTTCTATGAGCCAGCCTTGAGTAAATCAGTACAGTTTTAGCTGCAGATATCAAATGAGAAATTTTGCATGGATGAACCAGTCTATATATTGTACTTGGCAGAAAGACCTGTGTTTATTTATGTGACCAATTATTCCACTAAGTGTATTGAGAGAGAAATTATTTATGTATTTAAACTGGGAAATGTGTATTTATCTTAGAAGTGAAGTAAATGATAAAAACCTACATTCAAGGTGTTATTCTAACAAGAGATGAAAAGCTTCTCTTCAGAACAGAGAGGAAAGGAAAAAAGGATGGATTACCTTTGGTGAGATTCTTCTTTGGCTGGAGCTAGGCTTTGGAGAGGAAAAGGGGGGGCAATCCTTCCTTGAACGTTTGGTCTATTAGCTTTTTCCCCTGCCAAAAATACTCAGGAGGGAATGTTGTGTTCTAGGTCATGCATAGATTGGGCAGTTCAGCATTTTTGTTTTTGGCAAACATTGTAAAACCCAAGTGTAAACAAAGGCACACATAACAGTTCACTGAAACATCACCACTACCCTTTTGAGCTGTTAGAGGCCTATCAGTGCCCATATATGTGACTGTTCTTAATTGCTATTACTCAGGATGTTATATTCTGCAAATAGTATTTAAGACTCAGGGGTTCTGCCATGTCTTTGTGAGCACTCAGTTTAATTTATGAATGCTTTACTTATCACGCTTATTTGTGCAGCTTACAGGTGCTAGAATATGGTAGCATAAGATAATTATCTGCATTACAGAGTGCAGAGAGGGAGAGCATTTTTTAAAAAATCTTCTCTTCATTGGGGAATTTAGCTAGGACATTTTTCCTGTTGGACTATTTAAACAAAAAGCAAAAAAGGTTTCGGAGAGAGGTGTATCTGAGAGGTAGCATTTTTTAATGCTACTCTGTCTGCAAAGTCAAATGACACCATCTATCCTTATTTTGCTGCACACATAGATCATAATGAGACAGAAGTTAAAACATGAAGGAGAGATGGCATTGATACTCTGAAGTATTAATTCCTAAGATCCTTATTTAAATAAGTGACCTCTGTTCTTCCACAGAATACCTCTGAACCGTAGAATAACAAGTACATAAATAAAATGCTGTGTATGCCAACTGCAAAAACAGGAGGTGGGGGAACAAATGAGGAAACTTCTGGAATACTATCCCATGACTCAGCTTGATTCTTCTTGTGAAGGAACAGATGCATAATACATATGACAAGTGTGAAGGTACAGAAGTGGTCCTTAATTGTGTTTTGTGAATGTATATTTCATGCCCCAAAAGCATGAAAACAGATGAGCAGGAAGTCAATATCTACAGGTGGTCCTCACTTAATGACCACTAGTTCAGCGACCATTCAAACTTGTGATGGTGCTGAATGAGTAGTACTTACAATCAGTCCTTGAAGTTCCAGCTGTCACAGCATCCACACAGTTATGTAATCACAATCCAGGTGCTCAGCGACCATCTCACAATTATGACATTGCAGCATCCTGCAGTCACATGATCGCTATTTGTGACCTTCACTGCTGGCTTGCAACAAGCAAAGTCAATGGGGAAGCCAGCAGGAAGTCGCAAATGGCAACCATGTGACATCGCACTTAACAATGGCATGGGATTTGTTTAACAATGGCAACCAGAAATGCCAGAACTGCCATCACTAAACAGTGTGGTCAAGTGACATCATGCTTTATGACCACGTTGCTTAGCAATGGAAATTCCGGTCCCAAATGCATTTGTTACCTGAGGACTACCTGTAATTCAAAAGAATATGCATTCTGATCAAGAAGCAGCTTTACATTCTAGCATCTGATCTCTTATCGTGAATAAATTATATGTACACAAGAGCTTGAAAAAACAAATCGCTATTTCTGTGCACTTGTATGCACGTGTACTGCATAAATAGAAACGGGAAACATCAGCCGTAATGACATAGTCTGGTAGAAGCCTCAGTAAGTTTAAACATATTGAAGATTGACCATTTCTGATTAATAAAGGCAAACAATTCGATATAGGCATGTTATATGCACATATTATTTTTATATCTATTACAGAGGAATGTTACATATGGTTTGGGGAGCTCTGACAACGCACCCATGAATCCAAAGCTCCTGCTGGTAGAGCAGAAGTGAAATAAACTGATTTTGGTTTTCCTCTTCCTTTTCCAGGTGGCTTTATTAAAACTATCCTGCCATTAAAATAAATGGAGTTGTGCCTGAGAACTGGGAGGCATGTGGTTCCACCCAGAAGCCAATCCCTTTTTTCACCTTTCAGGGCTCAGAAAAGAACCACAGCAGAAATTTCAACAATGGCTCTGAGGGCATATCCAAGGTCAACTTTCCTACATGGAAGGCATATCTATCTCCCTCTGCTAAGAGAGATCTGAAAAACATTTAATGGCCCCTCAAGTCACAGTGGTCTCATAGGCTGCTGTTTACTTTTCATGACATTAAGAGGTTGCAGTGCTTGCAAGGAAAATGATTGCCTTAAGAACAGAACATTAATATTCTCTAATTATTATTATGAATGATTATTTCAAGAAGAGTTGTGCTAGAGTATGGGGATAGATTTCTGAGTTATTTTCTGATGGGGGGGGGCTTCAGTTCTAAGAAAATGTAAATTTGGAGGGAGATGTGGCAATAGGGAGCTCCTGGGGAGTGGGAGATATCATGATAGGGCTAATTCAGTCTATTCCAGAAGACAGGATAAACAGCTGGAGCCCATCCCTCTATCAGGTCTAGCTTTCAGCCAAGTGGCGGCAGGGAGGTGCCCCAGTAATTCCTATTTTTCTTCTCTTCCTTAGTTAAATGTGAGGTCATTGGCAATAAGACTGTCTTCCTTGGGGTACTGGATCCAAAATGATGATGCTGATCTGGTTTCTGTGATGGAGACCTAGCTGAGTGAGCTGGATGGGTCCAGATTTTCCACCAGGTTTTCAGGTTCTTCAGCAGAGACATGCTGGGGCTGAGGGGGAGGTTGTCACTACAGAATTCCATTCTGCTTTCCAGGTCCAAAGTGGAAGAGGCAAAAGGTTTGAATGTGTGCTCCTGGAGTTGGATGTGCACAACAGGTTGTGAACTTTGTGGTACACCAAGCATCCCACTGTTCAGCAACATACTTCAGTGGAGATAGTCTCAGATTTTGGCTGAGATTCTCCAGGCTGCTGGGGTTTGGGAACTTTAGCATCCATTGTTGGAGTCAGTCTCTCAGGATTAGTGCAGGAATTCATGGGTTTTAAAAGTTCTGCGGGCCTGTTGCAATTAATACCTGCTGTCACACCCCAAGCAGGACACACACTGGATCTGGTTTTTTGCACTGAGGTTGGTGTTAGAATAGAAGACCTACTGTTGACTTCTTTGTCATGGATGGTTAGGATATATCTGTTGATTTCATTTCTCCCATGGGTTGGGGCATGGTATGAAGATGGCTATGATTGCATTTATGGACAGTTTGTTGAGAGAGAACCGTAGATGTGTGTCTGTACTTTTGCTCTAGGATCACTGTTTTTGATACCATTGATCATAATATCTTCCTGGACTACCTGAGGGGGTTAGGCAGAGGCTGACAGATAGCCTCTTTCCTGATGGCAAATCCATATGTAATGTTTGGATTTTGTGCTTCTCCTCAAGTCTTTGAATTATGAAGTACCACAGGGTTCTATTCTATTTCCCATGCTTTTCTACATCTTTTTTGAAATTCCGGGATGTAATTATCAGTGAACATAGAGCTGGGTGCTGTCTTTACACAGCTGACACCCAGAACTATTTCTCCTTTTCATCTTCATCAGTACTTGTGATCAGCTCTTGCTTGGACTAGATTGCAGTCTGGGTGAGGCATGACAAAATAAAACTGAATCCAGAAAGACTGAGATTTGTAGGTGATAACTCTATCCAATTGGAAGAATCTTAGCTTGCTCTGGATGGAGTCTCACACTCTCAACTAAGCATGTTTTCAGCCTGGGGATACTTCATAACCCCTTGTTGGTCCCAAGTATTCAGGTGGATGTACTGACAAGGAGGGTCTTACCTCACTTGCATTTGATTTACCAATTTTGTTCCTTCTGGGATAAGGCTGACTTGGGTTCTCTCATCCACAAACTGATTATCCTCCCAGCCCCAGCCCCCAAAGCAGATTTTTGTAATGCCATTTTTATGGGGATGACTTTGAAGGAAACCTAGAAACTGGAACAGGTCTGGAATGTGGAGATCAAGCTTCTGTCTGGTGTTCCCCAATGGGAGCACATGATACCTGGCTCAGTTCTGCTGGCTTCCCATTACCATCCAAGCCACATTGCTTATTTCACCATATAAATCTCCTTATAGCTCAAGTCCTGCCTTTCTAAAGGAAGAACTATCCCCTTAGGAGCTCCTCAAATGGGTTTATTGTGAGTGCTGCCTACAAAGGAGCCCTGGCTATAAACAGTCACCAGAGTGCAACTTTTGCTCTCATTGGCTGATTTGAAGAGAAATTTAAAAACCTAGCTGCATGAGCAAGTAGTTATGACTTTGTGTGATAGCTGCCTTTGATTTAATGTATGTTTACAGTGTTATAATTTATTTTAGTGGTTTAATTGATGCTAATTACTGTTCAGGGCTACTAACTGTAGTGTAAACTGTGAGCTGGCTTGCCAGGAGCTTGTGGACATAAATATGACAATAAATAAAACATAAAATATTAGGCTTATTTAAAGCCAAATGTTTTTTTATGTTGGAAGAGTTCACTTGTTCTGTTAAAATAATTTCCTATAGAGAAACCCTTTTGAAAAGATGGAGTTTAATGGCCTTTAGACTATAAAATAGGCTTATTCTTAATGTACATTTACATACTTTATAACTCTGCCATTGAGATCTCATGGTGGACTGGGGAGTAAAATTATTAAATTCAAATTTGTATTGCAGTCAGCTATGAAGCTTCTAAGAAAGTATCTTTCTGCCAAAGTTGTAGGGCTAAACAAATAATGAAGCATCTTTCCTGGTGTTAATGGGATTCGGTTTTTGCTCTGGGCAGTTTCAAAGTAAGTTCTCTGTCCCTGTATCCTCCCCAGATGGACATACTGTGTTTCTATCATAATTGCTTGTGGGCACATAATTTCAAATGAGTTACTTTAGGAAAATCTGTGTATTAAAATCTGTATATCAGAACATCACTTACTCTTTTTTTTTTTTCCAGGTCACTATTGGTCAACTGTATTCAGCAGAGAAGCTTGTTATTGAGTGCCCACAAAAAATATAATTCTGATACTTTTTCTGCAAAAGTAGTGGACGAGCCTCAGCATTCTACGAGATTTATATTTGAAGGCATATTACAATCTGTATATATGACTGAGCTATCTTATTCCTCTGGTTTAAAAATATAATGAAGAGTAATTGTATAAAGTATCGTTTTATCTAGAATGTTATTGTTCACGTGCCACTAAAATGGATTAGTTTTGTTGTATATGAATGTCACTGTTTGCTCATACATTTTCCTGACAATAAAATATTTGCTCACTTCCTTCTGCTAATGACATTTGTGCACTTTTTGTCTGGGTCATGAATATATTTTGCAACTTGGGGAATGAGTCTCAAAACCATTTCTATAAACTGCAGCCCATTTGAACTTTAGTCCATTCCACTACAATTTTGTAAAAAATAGAAATTTCCACCAATGTAGCTTATATATGTTATGTGATCTTAAAATGAAAAATGTGAGAATTAAGGACTCTATTCCTACACGGGTTATAAACTCTAATTCTGGATTTGTAGCCCATTTTATTAAAGCTCCAAAACTTCTTCAGGGTGTTCAGAAAGTAGCCTCTTGAATGATGTCAGCCCTCACAATCATACAAACATCCTACTTTGCTGAGATTACAACTTCCAGAATTCTGAACCAGCCTACTCTAAGGCAGAAATCTGAGAACTGTAGTTCCAATGGGGATGCTGTACCACATATCACATAGAAGCTCCCGTATTGCAAGGCACTAACGCGTACCAATTCAAAAGGCAACTGCTGTAGAGTCAGCACTGCCGTAATTCACCCAATAGCTTTGCTTTTATGGGAAGGAGATGCTTGCCATTGTTATATGCTCCTAGGTTTGGGCAATATTTTTCAATCCAGGAATTTAATTCTCTGAAATGTCCAGAATGTCCCATTTCTCTCTAGATCTTGCTGAACCTCCTCCTGGACCAAGCTGTTCCAGAAGTGATTTGGTGGTTCCTGGAAATAAATCCTGCAAATTGGAAGCAAATCAAGGTATTCAAGGCATGGTATTCCAGACCTGGAATAGGGCTGGTTTTGGCCAGACAAGTCCCGAACACCTGAAACCTCTTGCAGATCAGTTCTCCTCAGACAACAAATGCTGCACTTTCTTAAATGCTTCTGCCTTTATTGGAGATTTCTATGCAAACTACATTTTTTTTATTTAGTTATCCTTTTTACATAGGTGAATTCAGTATACTGAATACACATATCCCACATTATATCAACCCTGAAATTTGAATTTTCTTCAGCAGTACTTTTATTCAGGATTGAAGAGAAGCATTTTATCAGATTTCAATTTTCTGCTTCTTATATGACTCCACTGGAAAAGTTCTTAGTTCATGAAGTCTCCAGAAGTCAAGCATGATTCAAAACAAGAAATTTACTGAAAAAATAGGGGACCAGTGTAAATATCCTTTTGATTCTCATCTTAATGTAATATTAATAATTTATGCATTTTTCTCCCTTATACAATTAGGGCAATATATGTATAAAACATATGTACATAAATTTGAAATGAACTCCGTTGCACTTAACTAAAGATATGATATACAGAGTATTACTGCAAATATGCTATAGCAAATATGTGTGGAAATGTCTGAAGTCCAATTCTTAAATATGTTCAGCACTGCAAAAAGCATCAGAACACGAAAGGAGGCAAAAGCTAAGTAGAAATTATATTACATATTTTATCTATGTATTATACATAATACATTTTATTTATATTCTTCAAAGGTTGCCAGACCATATCTAAACTCACATATGGCTAAGGAGCACCCACTTTTCTAATGAGGTAGGATATATGTTTAAGAACAAAAATAGTCTAGCTGATTTTTTTTTTTCCAGTCAGTTAGCTTTTAGTGGCCAATATTTCTAAAATGTTGCCTCCATAGCAGGAGAGGTAAAAGTACAGGCTTAAGTAGCAAACTAGAGACCTGGAAGAGTCTATAGCAATATCATTTTAAATGCTGGGCAAGTTCTTATAGAACTTTGTTATATTCTCACTTGCAGCAGCTGTATCTATCATCCTAAATATGCACACATATAATGACATTTCTGGGGACATAAATAGCCACAACCCTTTATTTGTATACACACAAATGAACAGGACTTTTTTTTATTAGACCAGATTCCCCTGTTCCAGGGATACCAACTGAAGATCCACACCCCCACCTCTTTGTTTGCAGCTACAAAAAATATTTCAGCTAGAACATCACATAAATTGTTTAGACAGAAGACCTTTTTATGCTTAGAGAGAACATGCAAGTGGGAAACAAATTGATTCACTATGCTGCTGACTGCAGAATCTTATCAGTTTCAAAATTCATGAACCAAAATTAGTCTGTTTGCTATTTCAAAGGTCAAAGAGCAATACTAAATCTAAAAAAAACATTCTGAAGCTTTGCAAATCAGTCAGATATTTTGTAGCACGCCTGATGAGTGCTACTAGTTATTTAAGAACACACTTCAAGAACACACAAAAGTGCCTGTGAGCCAGATCAGAAAAGTAAATATAACCCCTAGGAAGAAAATCTGAGAACTGCCCCCAAACCACATCCACTACTCTGGATTAGAGAATCTTGCCAAAGCAAGTTTATAGGTAGGATCTGTGATGATCCATCAAATGCAAGTACAGCATCCATATTTGGCTGGATTTGGTTTTTGTGTGGGACTGCAAAAACTGAAATGGCAAAGTATCTTCCAAGGTTATGAATCAAACTATATTTAGTTTGGTCATAATTTATGTAAGCTTTTATGGTTGGCTTAGAAATCTAGCATGTGGCTTCTAGAAATAAAATATCGCAGACCATGTTTTTGTAAATCATTCTTCTCAATTAATATAAATTTGTCCCTTTTTTAGTTCTGGTAGATTGGATCAGTTGCATTATATAACATCTACCATAACACACAAGCTCTTCCAGACAACTCCAAATGCAGGTCTCCTACAGTGCTGGGTAGCGAAACCATCTAAGATAAATGTATCTTACACCAAGGGTCTGTCGTTCATCAAACAGACTGAGAAAGTATATTCTACATTCCTCCACAGTATTTGTTTATTGAGTTGTTCAGTCGTTAAGTCGTGTCCGACTCTTCCTGACCCCATGAACCATATTGCGCCAGGCCTTCCT